CCTTGTTTAATCTCTTAAAATGCTGCTGCTGCTGCTGCTGTTGCTAAGTCACTTTAGTCGTGTCCGACTCCGTGTGATCCCATAGACAGCAGCCCACCAGGCTCCCCCATCCCTGGGATTCTCCAGGCAAGAGTACTGGAATGGGGTGCCATTGTCTTCTCTGTATAAAATGCTTTTCTGCCAAATGCTTGAAAACACCTTCTTGATTCCCCAGGGGTCATTACTCACATTTCCCAGGGAGTCCACTATAGAGAAGTTTCACAGGATATCCCTAGTAGGGGTTAGGTGATGCTAGTGATAAAGAACCTGCCTGCCAATGCAGGAGATGTAAGAGATGCAGGTTCGATCCTGGGGTCAGGAAGATCCCTGGAGAAGGAAATGGCAACCCACTCCAATATTCTTGCCTGGAGAATCCCTTGGATAGAGGAGTCTGGAGGGCTGCAGTCCACAGGGTCGCGAAAAGTTGGACACGACTGAAGCGACTTAGCACACACACACACACACACACAGCTACCTTCCCTTATGTGGGGTTCTCTCCATGACCCCAGACTTTCTGTGGGGTTCTAGAGGGCCAAGCCAGGTCTGAGGGGGTCACAAGGAGGCAAACTTCTGGCCCAGGAGAACCATCCACAGTAAAGCGGCCCACGTTCTAGGCTAGAACAGTGTTTCCAAAGGTGACCTTCCAAGGGTGGATTTTGTCATGTGAGCCCCATCAGAGTATGATAGACATAGAGATAAGCACACATGTCAGGGACAGCTCAGCGACTCCTTATAAAGTGAACACAGCCATGAAGAATCAGTGTCAGTCACTCAGTCTCGTCTGACTCTTTGAGATCCCATGGACTGTAGCCCATCAGGCTCCCCTGTCTATGGGATTCTCCAGGAAAGAATACTGGAGTGGGTAGCCATTTCCTTCTCCAGGGGATCTTGCCCACCCAGGGATCGAACCCAGATCTCCTGTATTGCAGGCAGATTCTTTACCATCTGAGCCACCACGGAAGCCTTACACATCAAAGTAACCAGCACCCAAATCAGGAAACAGACCATCACCTAAGTATCAGTATGGGCATTTTGGTTCAACATTATGTCTGAGAGATTCCTTCACACTGCTATTAAATATTACTGCCTTCCAATCCCACACGTCCTAATTCCTTCTCTGGATGATGTTTCTAAAGGTCAGCTCAAGCACCTCTGCCTCCGTGTCTTTTCCTCAGATAAAGTTCTGATGTCCTAACATGTGGTTCTCTCCTGCCTCAGTTCCTGGCTCTCCCTCCCTGACACGTGGGGCTCTGGACCTCCTGTGCTTTTTAAAGTTTATCACCTGTGTAATACTTGCCTTCTCCCGCCTCTGGATTCTTCAAGCCTCTGGCAGAGGTATGGACAGGTCCGTGGAAGCAAGAATTCTGGGTCCTGTCTGACATAATCATTGTGTTCATGCTGTCCACACGTGCAGCTGAGGCTGTGAACCACCATCTCAGACCTGTGTTCTCAAACCCCATGCACAGAAGCATCACCTGGGTACAGTCGTAAGTGTGCATCCTCAGGCCCACAGCCTCCAGGAGGTCCGATGCCAGAGACCTGAAGTTGAGACCAGGAATCCATGTTTGTCATGGGTTCCCACATGGTTCTGGTGCTGGTCCACGTTCTGAGAGATGCTCTCCTTGGGATAACTCCAGGGCCCCATTGCTGGCTCCCTCGGCATGACAGGGAGGGAGCTCGGCTCCCCCCTGTTTAAATATTGAGCTGTCTGTCTGTCTGCCCCCCAGACTATAGGCTCTGAGACCTTTCCACAGCCTGCTCGGAACTGGTGCAGAGCCTGGACATGACACACACTCAATAGATGCTCATAGAATCACTTCACTGTGTAGTGCTTTTCCGTAGATCCGTCTTACTTTTCCAACTCTTATATAAACTATTTAAAACCATGACCTATTCCTCAACACAGTGACTTCCATACTGTAGATATTCTGTACATTTATTTTGTATTAGTTAATAGGTGTCACCTACAACCCTTGAGCTGCCGTAGTAGGATTAAAGCTTGAAGCAGGTTGTGAGATCCCTGCTTTACACAGTGGGGCTCCCCTGGTGGCTCAGACAGGAAAGGGTCTGCCTGCAATGCAGGAGACCCAGGTTCGATCCTTGGGTCGGGAAGATCCCCTGGAGAAGGGAATAGAAGACCACTCCAGTATTCTTGCCTGAAGAATTCCATGGACAGAGGAGCTTGGCAAGCTTCAGGCCATGGGGTCGCAAAGAGCTAGACACAACTGAGCTACTAACACTAACACACTGTCTTCTGTCAGGCCTTCCCAGGTGGTGCTAGTGATAAAGAACACACTTGCCAATGCAGGAATCATAAGAGATGTGGGTTCTGTCCCTGGGTTGGGAAGATCCCCTGGAGAAGGGCGTAGCAACCCACTCCTGTACTTTTGCCTGGAGAATCCCTCTGTCCAGAGGAGCCTGAGGTCACAAACAGTCAGACATGACTGAAGTGACTTAGCACATATGCATGCCTTCGATCAATTCAGAAGTTGCTCAGAATGTAAAACTAGGAGGGACTCAGTGTTACTTTTCAGACATAAGCAAATGGTTGTTCAACCAGTGTCACAAATTCTGATGCTGGCATATAGACCTTGCTCCAATTTAGTTTAGAAATGAGAACATCCTTATTCTGACACATTCTTTCTCTCTCATGGGCCCCATAAGAGTAAATCCATGTAGAAAGATCTAATGGGGCCCTTCAGGAAGCATAGCGCATTATTGTGGCAGAACCCCTTGCAAAGGTGAGAGCTACTGCACCTGCCAGCCAGCCTTCTGATCACCCTGAAGTTAGCAGATCTTCGTTTATCAACACTTTTGGGTTAAATGATTCAGAATCCTGTTCCACCAAAGCACTGAACTTTCAGCCACAGTCACTGTCAGGCAATTTCACACTGTTCACCTAGCCTGTATGTCCAGGGGACCATATGTCCAAAATAAATATGTTCTTAAATTTCTCAAATAAGCACTGACTTTCCTTGAAACTTCCTCTTTAAAAACTGAAAGTCTATATTTCAACAGTATGTGAATCACTAGCATCTTCTGACTCTCATTCAAAGCTTTGAACCAATGAAACCTGCCCGTAATGAGATTTTATCAAGCGAGTGATATTCTTTGAATCATTTGATTTTGAGGAGAACTGTAGTGCAAGGTTTTTACAACTTTTTTGACCATGACTGTCAGTGAGAAATACATTTTGCATTCCAACCCAACACATAACACACACATACTTTCCCCATATTACAGTCACACTGGTATTCTTTTCTGTTCTCTTCCACTCGTGACAGCTTCATTCATAAAGAACCTGCTTCTCAACCTCAGCTGTCTTCTGGAATGACCTGAGAAGTATTAACAATTTCCTAAGCCTGGGTCCCCCTCCCAGAGATTCTGATTTACTTAGTCTGAGATGTGGCTGGAGCAGTTTGGTCTTAAATGTCCCACAAATGATTTTACTGTGCAACCCAGATACATAGCCCATGCAGTCAGTCGACTTTCTAGCCCATAAACGGGTCATGGCTGATACTTTGAAAAACACAGACATTGAGTAATAGAAGACACTAACTTCCAGAGACACCTCTGCAAGGCAACTTGTTTATTTGCTGAATGAAAAGAGTGCCGAGGAGGGCCATCCTGGGCCCTAGGGAGACAGCTGTTGTGGCTGTTGTCTCTGCTCTTGAAGAACTGACAGTCCCGGTTCCCAAACGGAACGGTTTCACGCGGCCAACACTCAGATTCGGAAACAGAGCTCAGTGCGCGCTCAGCAGTCTCCGCGTTCTTCCAGCACCGCCTGCCCAAGACCCACCACCAGCCTGGCATCCGACAGCACACAGTGGCTGTGCCCTGTTCCCAAATGGAACGGTTCCATGCGGCCAACACTCAGACCCGGAAACAGCTCAGCGTGCTCCCGCAGCCTCCGTGTCCCTTCCAGAACGGTTCCAGCTGCCAACACTCAGACCCGGAAACAGAGCTCAGTGCGCACCCGGCAGCCTCCGCATCCCTCCAGCACCGCCTGCCCAAGACCCATCACCAGCCTGGCTTCCGACAGCACACAGTGGCTATGCCTGTGTTTCCACTTTAAGTGACTGGAATCATACAGTTTGTTCCCCTCTGTGTCTGACTTCTTTGGGTCAGCATTCTCTTCATCCCAGCTATTCTGAGTAGGTATATTTCATTCTCACTGCAGTGCAGTGTTCCACGTCCAATAAATACATCTCATTTGGCTTATTCACTTTACTGTGGATGGGTATTTGGGGGCTTCATAGTTTGGGCTTATGGATATTCCAGTACATGTATGTCTGGTGAATATATACACACATTTTTGTTCGCTACACGCCTAGAAATGGATCTTCTGTGCCACAGATTAAGCACTTGGGCTACATTAGAAGATAAGAGTCAAATTATTTTCCAAAGTGTTTGTGGTAATTTATACTCCCATCTGCAAAGTACTCACTTGTCCCTCATCTTTGTCAACATTTAGTATTGTCAGCCTTTTTCATTTTAGCCATCCCAGTGTGTGTCAGTTTTTGCATTTGAAATATATTTAAGTAAGAAAGGCAAGACTTTTAATTGATGTACAGCTATGCCTATATTATAAATAATGCATGGATAATCCTCCCTTGACTTAGGGGTTCATAGATGTTCCAAAATCTTACTGGAGGTCTATGTGCTATCTTAGTCATTGTGCCTCTTTTTCCTTCCCTTCACCCCTGTCCCATGCCCTTGTCCTCAAATGCTCTGCCTCTGGTCCACAGCCTGGGTCTGACCTGGAGAGACATGTGGCATCTGACTGTGCTCACCCCAAAACAGAACCAGCTTCACGAAAAGGTCCATCAGTGGCGGAGGACTGGGTTGGCCTGGAGTTTGATCACCTCTTTGGCTACAGGGTCCTAGATGCAGGTACCATCGTGAAGATGGCCAAAGACTCGAAGACGGTGCCTGAGAAGTTCCACTGTGTGGGCGGCTCCATGCAGGACCCAGAGTAAGTGGGGGCAGTAAGCTCTGCCGCTAGTCGTGGAAAATACCCTGAAGATGCCACCACTGCACTGGCAACCATATCAGATGCCCTCTCTGTGTCCTCCTGAGATGCACTGGATTTGATTCAGGGATAACCAGCTTCCAGGCAGAGCTGTAGCATTAGGCAGTTGCAGAGTATACAGTATCCAGAGCCCTGGGGCCTGGAACTTCCATCCCTTATTGACAAGAGGGAAAGATTTACAAAGAGGAACTTTGCTAGGGGAAGTTGTGCCTTTGCAGGCTCTGGGCCACAGAAGGTGGGGGCCATGAGCAGTGTGACAAGGGTAGGATGTAGTTAGCTGCGTCTTGGCTTACATTCCCAATTAGCAGAAAGGTGGTACAACTGCAGTATTGAGGAGAAGAAGCACTGGGACTCTGCTTAGTCATGGTTTGTGTTGACATCAGACCTTGTTCTCTGCAATGGCCCTGGACAGGAAGACTGGGTTTCTGTTGATCCTCATGCTCTGTGCTTGTGGAGGGAGGGGGGAGGGAGAAGGAGAACACATGCTGGGATGAATGACCATTTCCCTCCCAGTTCCAAGTGCCCTGAGCACTCTGTGCTAATCCAGATACTTGCTGGAATTTGGAGCCAAAGGCAACACTGGAAATAGGTCGTCTGATGCCCTCATGTTAGTTAATGAATCCAAGGCCCTGAAATATGGCCATCGCAGTGGCTCACAACCAGCTGGGAGCTTACCCAGTGTTAGCAGCATTATATATATTTTTTAATCTGGAAAAGTCTTTTATTATGTTTCATTTGATCAGGTTAAATTCATTTCACTATATATATAGATGTTTTGGCTTATATGCTTCTTACAGGGTTTTATACAAATTCATCAAGAATTTACATTTCCCAAATGATCTTCTGTTGCAACAGTTTTATTCTCAGAACAATACACATGTACACATATGTTATGACAGCAATGTTAAACTTTAAAATATATAGGCATTTCTTAAGAAAAAAAAAGAGATTTCTCTGGTGATCCAGTGGTTAGAACTTGGTGCTTCCACTGCAGGGAACCCAGTTTTGATCCCTGGCTGGGGAACTGAGATCCCACAAGCCACACAGTGTGACCAAATAATAGAAAAAGAAAGTATATAGAAATGTGTCAGTTTGTGTTCTCAAGTCCCCACTCCTCAAAAGTTCTGATTTATGAGATTTTGGATAAGATCCAGAAGACTAAATTTTGTGGGTGGTCTCAGAAGCATTATTTTAATGAAAGGAAAGATGAGAGCTCTTTTCTAAAAAAATTTATTTAATTGGAGAATATATCCTGTACAACATCATGTAGGTTTCTGCCATACAACAAGGCAAGTCAGTCATGAAAAGTGAAAGTGTTAGTCACCCAGTCGAGTCTGACTCTTTGAGATCCCATGGACTGTAGCCTGCCAGGCTCCTCTGTCCATGGAATTCTTCAGGCAAGAACACTAGAGTGGGTTGCCATTCCCTTCACCAAGGGATCAAACCCAGGTTTCCTGCATTGCAGGCAGGTTCTCTACCATCTGAGCCAGCAGGGAAGCCCCGAGGCAGTCATAACTATATGTATATAGCCCCTCCCTCGAGAGCACTTTCAGAACTAACTCAGCTGGGCTCCCTGAGGACAGGAACCTAGCCTGTCCCATCTGCTGGTGTGTCCTCGGGGCTAGAGCTTAGCAGTCATGGGATCAATATTTGTGGAATGAATGAATGAATGAATGAATGAGTGAATGACTATTCAGCCAGTTTCACCTGGGCACAAGGAAGGCATCTAAACAGTGGCGACAGGTGATAGAGTGGTCAGACCAGTCAGGGAAATTTGGGGTGGGGGAGGTCAGGCCTTGTTGGAAGGGCTCTGGTCTCCTGGGTGCCCTCTGCCCCCTTGCCCACAACCCACCTGAACTTGATCTCAGGTGCTGATGAGCAAGGTCTGGGGCAGATGCCATGCTGGAAGAACTCAGAGGCTGGACAGGGAGGCTGCAAGGGCAGCGCCCAGGCCGGCTGGGCCTCTGGCAGAAGCAGCCCTCACTGCCAGGAATCCAGCTTCTCGCGGGCAGGCTGCAGGGCTCCATGGCCCCCTGGCAGTGGCCAAGTCTATGCCGGCTGCACAGAAACGGGCTGGGAGCCACTGAGTGGCGACTGTCAGGTTTATGAGTCTCCTCAGTGCTCATCTTCCCAGAGAAGCAGGCAGCTCGAAAAGCAATTCTCTAAAGAGACTTTATCAGGAGAGTCCGTGAAGGGTGCTTGACTAAAATAAAAGGGAAGAATAGAACTGGTTGTGAGGCATCTGCGCTGGACCATCCAAGTCAGTGAGCAGAGGCAGCCTGGCCCACCCCACCGCCAGTGTTTCCCAGAGCACCCTGTCCGGCTCAGCCCCCACCCTCCCCTGCCCACTCAGCTCCTTGAGCAAAGTGTTAGTTGCTTAGTCGTGTCGGACTTTTTGCAATCACATGGACTGTAGCCCGCCAGGTTCCTCTGTCCATGGGGATTCTCCAGGCAAGACTACTGGAGTGGGTTGCCATTCTCTGCTCCAAAGGGTCTTCCCCACCCAGGGATCGAACCCAGGTCTCCCGCATTGCAGGCAGATTCTTTATCATCTGAACCACCAGGGAAGCCCCTGAGGCTGTGGCAAGCTCTGAATTTTAAGTGAATTTGGAAATCAGTGTTAACACTTGACCTGAGTAGCAGAAGCTATTAGTAGAGAGCGGACAGTGTGCTCAACCGCATACCGGTCAGGTGTGGCCATGACCAGTCACTTCTGAGCTGCAGTCATATTGTTACGATAGTCATAACAATCATTTCAGCAATAATTTCTCTTTATTAAAGTACCGAGTGCTGTAAAAGAAAGACATCTGAGTTCCCGTTCCACTCTCAGTTGCCCTAGTGGGACTTGGGTGCTGACAGTTTTTTTTTTTTTTTTTCTGAAAGATTATCTCAGGAGACAGACGTGAGGAGGAGGCAATGGAGACAGGGAGAGAGAGCAACCCAATAGAGAAGACACAGAGGATGCGCTGACTGGCACCTCGCTGCCCTGGGCAACTAGGCTCAACCCCACCAGGGACACCGAGTTGTCCCCACCAGCAGTGAGGAACGCAGGCTGTATTGACTCACCTCCTCCTGTCAATCACTGGTTAGGGTTTTTCCTTCTGGATCAAATCCCTGACATTCTGCCATCAGGGTCCACAGGGGCCTCAGGTGCAAGAGAACCCAGCAGAGACCTAGCAGAAGTGGGAAGGGGGTCAACTGTATTGGCTGCATCCCCCATCCAAACAGATCAGAGACTGCAGGTGACTTGCTCAGGGTCACACAGCTGTTATAATAATAAACCCCAGAGTCCATGCTCTCCCCACTCTGCAGAATGGCCTTAAAACCCCTGGGATAGGAATCCCCCAGCAGTCCTGTGATCAAGACTCTGACTTCCAATGTAGGGGGCATGAGTTCTATCCTTGGTGGGGGAACTAAGGTCCCACATGCCCCTGGATGCAGCCAAAAGTTAAAAAACAAAAAACAAAAAACTCTGGGATAGTGTCCCCCGCTCACTGTGTCTGCTCACTACTCTGCCCTCAGGAAAATTCCTACCACTGGCAAGCTGGTGCTGACATTCACGACCGACGCATGTGAGGGGAAGGAAAACTTTGTCCCCTACCTGGAGCATGTCCAAGTGGTTGTCACGGTCAACGTGACCAGGAGAGGGGACCTGGACATCAACATGACGTCCCCCACGGGCACCAAGTCCATCCTGCTGAGCCACTGCACCCGAGACTACTACGCCAAGGTGGGCTTTGACAAGTGGCCTTTCATGACCACCCACACTTGGGGGGAGGATGCCCAGGGCACCTGGACCCTGGAGCTGGGCTTCGTGGGGTGTGCACCCCAGAAGGGGGTGTTGAAGGAGTGGATGCTGATGCTGTATGGCACACAGAGTGCCCCCTATATTGACCAGGTGGTGTGGGATCACCAGTCCAAGCTGGCCATGTCCAAGAAGGAGGAGCTAGAGGAAGAGCTGGGCGAGGCCATGCAGGGAAGCCTGAAGAGCATCCTGGGCAAGGACTAGCGCCTGGCCCCCTCCCCCACCCCCGCTGCCTCCTCCAGGAGCGTAGCAGTGACCCTCCCGCTACACCAGCAATGCCCACGTCTAGATCTGAAGCTTTGCTCACTGTCAGTGATTCTTTTCATTCCTATGGAAGCAACCTTTTCTATTCTGTGCCCCAAATACAGTGCTCCCACCCACACCTCTGTCCTGTTTGTGACTCCAAGCTCTTCATTTCTGTCCTTCAGATAGGTGATATGCCAACCCCTCCATTTCTTTCATAGAAGAGCTATGAATTTCATAAAAGAGGTATGCATTCTCTTAAGAGAATACATTTAAATAAGTCAGGCCTGGGGACTCCAAGGTCGTTTTATTCACGATCTCAAGGGAGGACCCGTTATGTAAAAGGAGGAGCCAGGTTTATGACAGAGGTGAGCTCTGAGTCTCTTCAAGCCCAGATGCTGTAAATCCTTTGGGGAAAGATGTGTTGACTTTTAGGAAGCTTTTCCAGGGTTGTAAATGAAGGTGGCACCAATCGAAAGGTCCCCTAGTTACCAGATGGGTAGGAGAGAGTCCAAATCATGAACGCAGGAAATCTTACCACCATGGTCAGCGTTGTAGCTTGTCTGGCTCGCCAGTGTAATAGGCGTAAGATCTCAGTGGCCTGGCTGCCTTTTCATCAGCCGCTGCTCTGAGTTATGATAAACTCTGGGAGATGCCCCTGTCACCCTCCGTGTGCCTGGCCTTTCTCCAGCCCCATTTTTCTGGGGCTCCTCCCGTAGTTACGCAAAGGAAAAAAAAAAGGAAGGCAGGATGGAGACACATCTAGGAAAGAGTAGCTTAGTAGTTCTTAGCACAGGGATGTTCCTTTCTGACGCTGCTCTGGGGCTGCTTAATCTGATGGAGGGGAGAGAAGGTGAGCATTTCGAGAGCTTTCCATACACGATTGGAGGAAAACAGCTTCTGCACTTGATGAGTTGGGGAAATGGCCTCTCTTCTGGATGAGGTGTGTGAGGGTGAAGGGTCAGGTTTGGAGAGGTGGGCAGCCACTTCACCGGAATCCCCATTTGTATGGAGCCCTTCCCACTCAACGGGGAAAAGCCAGCTCATCTCCCTGTAACGAGACCCAAAGGAGGCAGAAGCCCTTCGCACAGAAAGCACTACAGTTGGCTACAGTTGTGGCAGCCAAGCAGTCCGGGAGGGGCTTTAACCTGCACCCCAAAGGTGAAATGCCCCCTCCCCCCATCACCCCCAGAGACAGCATCTCATCACCAAGCAGAAAGGCTTTCCGAGAGGCTGTCACTTTGTTCTCCTATCCAAGGAATAGCTCACCAGTGCCCACCCGCCCCCCAAAACTGATGTGCTGGTTTGATTTGATTCCCAAGAACTGATCCACCCCTTCTGGCTACATTTCTCCCTTCCCGTGGGAGCAGCCTGGAGTTCCTTACCTCTAAGTTGGCAACACAGAACCAGAGGGCCCTTCCTTAAAGGCAGAAAAGCCTGGAAAACCCATGTTCTTTCTCTTTTCTCCCATGTTGGCATGGATTTCTACCTTCTCTAACTCCATATGATCTCTATAGAATGCTTTATGATGTCATATATTTATGATTTTTGAAAGAAATTTATTACATGTTGCAAAGGCCTTTTTAAACCAGTTTAGAATTAAAGCAAAAATAAATGGAAATCATCAAAATTTCATTTCTCATTAACAGTCTGAAAATAAACCAAAAGACATTAAGTGTGCATGTGTGTTTAAGTGCATGCAGAAATATATATACATATGTAGACTAATACACGTGTGTATATATGTGTATATGTCTTTATGTACACTTGTATAACTGTATATACACACATATACCTAAAATGTGCGTATGTATATTTACTGAAGAAATAGATACCACATTCATTTCTAAAAGCATATTCAGAGGATATCAAAATGATTCTGGCTGAAGAAAAAGGCCAGTGGAAATTCAGGTGAAATGTTCATGAGTTATCATTACTTCATCTCTCTAATTTTGCACCTTTCTGTATAAACTTTAAGTATCTTATATAGCAGCACAGATACAAAATAGTTTTCCATATTTTCACAGTTGTAGTCTAATTTATGAAATTAGAGAGTAACTTATCAGCTTCTTAATAGAAATAGCAAGTTTTGATATGAGTATACAGTACATAAAATATATATAGTGCTATTTAAAAATATTTGGTCTCTATTTCATTTTTTGCACCAGTATTAATACTAAAATATGTTCAGCTAGTGAGGTTTTTGTGATAGCCTTATTCTAATGCAAGAGATAGTTATTTATAGACATTCATTTAAAAAAATAAGTGAATAATAATCACATTAACATTTTTATTCCCTGTGACAACATTTTATAAGTAAATTTAAAAATACATGATGTAAATTAGGAGATTCAACAATAAAACATTAACTTCAAGAAATTATGTGGGATGTGATATGTATTACATAAAAACACTTCCATCCATTCTGGGAGAGAAAATTAAAAGTTGCCAGAGAAAGAGCTAAAAAGCTTGTTTTCATAAATATGCACGAGAGGTTTAGAATTAGCAAATAAATCATACACAAATTATGATCTACAGCAGCATTTTTCAGACTCAGGCCATACCCTATTGGCAGTTGTCATATAAATTTAGGAAGTTAAAACCAGAATTTTGGAGTAGAATAAGGATAGCATAATAAGAAATCATGCATATTAATGATAACAATTGTTTCCCAATTTTTTTTGTCAGAAATGTGTGTGTGCATGTTTGAGTGTATTGGCTCACAACGTGTAATACATTTCTTATTGGAGTCATGGTCAAAGATCTTTCAGAACGCTCTTCTAGAATATGTTCACCAACTAGACAAGTTCTACTGTAGTAAAACAGCCCCCAGATCTCAGAGGTTTCACACAATAAAGGTGTGTTTATCATTTACACAAATTTCATGGAGGATCTGGGTAACTCCCCAAGACCATAGATTGCCATGCAGTGACTCAGAGATTCAGGCTGCTCCAACCTTCACCCTTAGGTCTGTCATCACAGCATGAGGCTGTGACGGTCAGTAGGGGAGAGAAAGAACCCATGAAGACTCACAGCCTCTTCTATGTTCAGTATGAAGGAGACACACAAGTCATTTGACCTACTGTGCGCTGGCCAGTCCTGGTCAATGACACTGCTACACAGGAAGCACCTGAGAGATAACAGGACCACTAGTAGAATCCTCAGTGTGCACCGGGGTCTCTACCACAGAGAGGACTTGATAATCCCTTAAAACATATTCTTACATATTGATTTGCATGGCAACATGTTCATGAAAAGTGTCTCAAACTGTCTCCACCCATGTGACCACACACCATTCTAGCAAATCTGGAGAGTTATTCATAAAAATGCAAATATCTTACATTTATCATATTTGTTGTAAAAACAATTTTCAGTTTTGTACTGTGATCCACTACTTACAAAACCCAACTAGTAAAATTATAAAACAAGCCTGTGGTTGAAAACACATACTGAAAGGCATAAGGTCCAACCTGACCTTGTGACAGACTGAACGCTGCTTTTCAACACTTAAGTCCAAAGAATGATTTCCCAAAGATAAAGTTTAAAAACTGATAACTCTTGGGACTACCCTGGTGGTTCAGTGGTTAAGACTTCATTTTCCAGTGCAGGGGTTGAAGGTTTGATCTCCTTGTTGAGGAGCTAAGACCCCACATGACTCAGGGCCAAAAAACGAAAACATACAACAGAAGTGCTATTGTAACAAATTCAGTAAAGACTTTAAAAATAGTCATATCATAAAATATTTTTTAAAAAACTGATAATTCTTATAGAGTCACTACCATGTGTCATTGTTGCCATCACTTATAAATTACAAAGAGCAGTTTTCATGAGAGTATGCCTTCATGGGTTGGCATCACCTGAGAACCACACATTACAAAACCTTTAGGAAACACAGCCAAGCATTTCCTATTTAGAGAGAAAAGTGCATTAGGAGGATTGGTGAACTCATAGCCAGAGTAAGTTTTTGGATGCCAAGAGTCTAATTTGATAGAAATTTATAGAACCCAGAGTGCCAAGGTTAGAGCACTGGCTGTGGGAGAGGACAAGGGGATTGAGAACCACTGGGAGTTTGCAGTAAACGTGAACACAGGATGGGTCTTGGACCAGCGACGGTGATCTGACTGTGGCTGCCATGTGGTCTTCTGTCAAAGAAGGACCGAGTTGTGGGTGGGGGCGGGATGGGGGGGGGCGGGCATTCAGCACGTGGGAGCTTAGGAAATGCAGACTCATGATGGAAGTTGGGGACAGTATCTGAGTGCTCAGTGTAGGGGAACACAGAGGCCAGTGTAAAGGGGGTTTCTAGCCTCTGAAGAGCTGATGTCAGTTGAAGACCAGGCACAGGGAAGTCAGCCCCAGGCATGCTCCTAGAAACTGCTCCACCTGCCAATGGTGAGTCCAAGCCCACGCACAGCCTCCCAGTACCTTATTCAGCTTCCCAAGGACACTGGCACGGGAGAGAGGGTGACCGGCACCTGGATGTCTAGGAGAGAGGCTCCCTCTCTGCTTTACAAATTAATCAACTCCTGCTTGAGTTGGTCCACTATTCTCTCGTGCATTTAATTGCCAAGAGGCCCTTTCCTTGGGTTCAAACACCTCTCTGTTGAATTTGGCTTTGAGCTTATAAGCCAGAATCAAAATCTGACCTGAGGCAAATTTTCCAAGCCAGTCTGCCAGCTTGTTTTCTTTCAGAACTTAGAAGACATGCACTGTCAGTCTGGGGATAGAATAAACTGACGATGGAGAAATGCGCTCTGCCCCAGAGATGAAGACTCTAATATTCAGTCCTGGGTGGTTTGGGATGGGATGGGGGTGATTAGAAATCTCAGCCCACAGGGTTTTAGATGCCCAAATGGCCAAATGAGGCTGGGAATTCCTTAGTTCTAAAGTGAACTGTCACCAGTTCCCACCTGGATGGCTTCAGGCCACCCTACCTTCACCATCCCAGCATGGTGGTCTCATGT